GGTCGCTCGGATGAAGGCGAAGCTGGCGGCGCTGACTGCTGCGCCGCCGGCCCAGAGGGGCCGCGCGCCTCGTCCGGTCCGGCTGGCCAGCCCCGTCGAATCTGACGTCGTCTCCTCGCGGAGACATTGGTCGTTCAAAAAACAAACGACACCACCCCACCTACGGCCATCCAAGTTGTGCTACGGCCCATCGGGGGCCGTAGCGTGTACAGTGCAAAAACTCACGCCAGAGGTCCTGGTATACGCTACGGCCGCGGTGGGGCCGTAGACGGGGTGGTGCCGTTCGTTTTTTGGCCCAACTGGAATGCATGGTCTTTGGTAGCACATCATGGGGGCCTTGTATGCCCTTGCGGTAATGTTTTGAGAGTGCGCTGGCGTCGATGAGCGTCAGTTGATCGATGAGATAGCGCCGATTTAGCGTCGGCTAGCGTCGATTATCGTCGACTTAGCGTCGATTGACGTCGATCTAGCATTCACTCGCAAGAGCAAACAGGATGATATGAACGGCCCCCCACGAGTCGCCACCGAACATGGTCCAGGGCCCGCCCCCCCCCCCTAAATGCTCATGGGATCGGGCTCCCCCCCCCCCTCCGATGGGACCCTCCCTGTGGGTGTGAGGGTCTATTCTTCGGGGCTCGTGCCGCGCACGTTGGACCCTCGTCGTCGTCGTCGTCGTGGTTGTCGTGGTCGTCGTCGTCGTCGTTTCTTCCCATCCCACCTGGGGGGGGAAGGGGGAGGGGGGGGACCCGCGAGCCCAGAGCCCGTGAACACAAACACACACACACACACACACACACACACACACACACACACACACACACACACACACACCACACACACACACGCACACACACACACGCACACACACACACACCACACACACACACACACCACACACACCAACCACACACACAGATCCCCCCCCAGTGACGATGGAAAGGCTTCGCTCCGCTGCCGTCGCTCCAGCCCGCCCCGCCTGCCCTAAAGCGGCGGGCTGCGGCAGGCCCAGGTCCGCGCGCTCCGCCGGCCGCACGCAGGGCAAGCTGGGACCGCACAGGCTTCGCGCGGCTCCGTCGGCTGCGCCGCTGCGCCGCTGCGCCTGCCACCTCCCGAGCCGTCGCTTCGGCGCCGGAGGCTCTGATGGCCGCGCGCAGCGCAGTCAGAGCAGCGGCGAGTCCCGAGTCAGAAGCAGGGGTCGACCTGGGCGATTCCGCGGGCCATCTTCGCTTCGACTCTCCGTTCTGCAGTCAGGGCGGGCTGGAGACGAGGCGAGGGGATGCGAAGACAAAGCGAGCACGTCAAGCAATGCTTTTGTTGCTCGAGCCCCGCTCGAAGGCATTACGGCTTCTGGCCTGCGATCTCGCAGTGCCGCCGAGTGGCCTTCCGCGCCCCGTGCTCTCGGCGAGAGTCTTCGCGCCTCACGTCGGGGAGAGGCCGGAGGTCGCAGCCTCGCGCTGCCCCTGGTGCTGGCAGGTAGCGGGCAGGGGGAGGAGAGGAGAGCAAAGAGGAGGAGGAGGAGGAGGAGGAGGAGGAGGAGGAGGAGGAGGAGGGGAGGAGGGTAGGAGGAGGAGGAGGAGGGAGGAGGAGGAGGAGGAGGAGGAGGAGGAGGGAGGAGGAGGAGGAGGAGGAGGAGGAGGAGGAGGAGGAGGAGGAGGAGGAGGGGGAGGAGGGGGAGGAGGAGGAGGGGGAGGAGGAGGCGGAGGCGGCCCAGGCCCAGACACCCAGCGCCTGGGACACAACAAGGGGGCCTCTGCGCGCGGGCTGTGAGTCCCGGGCGGGCTCGGGCTTTGAGCCTGGCGACCGCTCCTGGCGTCCGATGCCTTGGTCTGCTCCGTGCGGGGTCTTCAGAGGTCCCGACGGCCCGCGGCCTGGCGAGGACCCCCCACACGCCGAGAGCGGTGGATATCTGTTAGGCTTGTGGTCTCTCTTCTCTCCTCCTTCCTCCTCCTCCTCCTCCTCCTCCTCCTCCTCCTCCTCCTCCTCCTCCCCCATCCTCCTTCTCATCCTCTTGCGCTTCTTTGCTGGTACTTTCCGCGGACCAGGCGCACCGAGTCCGTTGAACGTGCACTGCCGCCTTGCTGGATCACCTCAGGCATACTTCCCATGTTCGATGTCTTGCCGTGGTGAAGATGATCGTCTCAAACCGTTGGATGTCCCGGGATCCGGGGGTTCTCAGAAGGGGGAAAAGCACACAGGCGCAATTCATCGTCGACACGCAGGAATATGTAGCAAAATATGGGAAGTTGGGGGGAAGACGAAAACCCAGAGACTATGAGATAAATATTGGGAATCCTGGGATTTTTGTGTGTGTGTGTGTATTTCTTTGTGTGTCCCTGAGAGAGGAGGAGTTTTGCCACTGCCGCCTGGCTGGCAGTCGATAACCCCGTGGACTCCGGCCGGCAGGCCATCGGACAGACAGGCCCGGGGTCGGGATGCCACTCGCTCGTGAGCGTTCCGGCAAGCCCTTGAGCGGCCGCGGCGCCCGTCACCGCCGACCAGACCAGCCCAACCCAACCCGAAGGCCCCGATTTGCCTTCGATTTAACGCATGATCCTTTCGACGGGACTTCTGATATTGCCAACGGGGCTTTGGAAATCAGGCTCCCGCCGCGATCGATCCTGCCTAACTGCTGCTTCTGGCATTTCCAGTGGGGGGGGGTCGGGGAACATGGACAAAAACACATATGAAGCCCCCCCCCAACCCGAAGTTCCGGTCTTCGGGTTGGATTGGGGCGGTCTGTTGGTAGGTAGTCGGCCCGATTGCATCTTCCGGGGCCGCCGATCTTGTCCCGACCCTGGCTTCGTCTTACAGTCGGACGGGGGCATAAGATCGAGGTCGGTTCGGGGAGGGTGCCCTGGTGTTCTTCGTGCTGGGTGGATGTTTTCGGGCCTCTTGCGGAGGGTACCCTTGGATGTTCTGTGTTTTGGCCGGCCGAGGATCTAATGCTCTTGAGGGATGTTCTTCTGGCCTAGGTTTAAGTCGGGCATGTCCCTCTACAGGAAGAATATTCAAGAATAGAGTCTAGGGACGTTATTGGGGGCTCTTTTGACTCTATGTATTGTTTTTTCCTGTTGTATTTTTCTTCCAACATCCGCCTGCAGGAGGACGTGCTCGATCTGAGCCTAAGTCAGATTTTCATCGGCCGGCTGGCCAGCGATCGGCCAGCCGGCCGATGACCTCGGCTCGGCTGGGCGGGCGGGCGCCCGCTGTGGAATACCACCACCCCTTGCGCGCCGACCAAGGCAGCGGATCGTCGGGGCGCAGGTGGCGGTGTACAAAGGCGTTTGGGTGGGCGCTGTCTACGACGACGACGCCTGCGGCGGCGACGACGACGACGACGCCGACGCCAATGACCGCGACGACGACGACAACGACGCCGACGACGACGCCGACGACGCGACGCCGACGCCAACGCAGATGCCAACGCTCACGACGACGACGCTGACGCCCACGCCGACGCCGCCGACGCCGACGTCGACGCCAATGACGACAGTGGCGGCGGCGGCGATGACGACGACAACGGCGGCCTCATCCGTGCCTCAGAGAGGGCCAGCCCTAGGAGGGGATCTGGTTTCAGTACCGACCAAGGCTGATAAGGCCCTTCTCTCCGAGGCTGGGATTTTGTGAACTACCGCCATATGTATTTGTGCAGCATTCTATTTAAAGTATAATGTATAGTGCATACATGTATGATATGTGTATGAACTGTCCGTTGACGAACGAACAACACACGCCCATACCCAAAGGGGGATCGGAGGGAGGAGGGCTGGCTATGGTATTGTATGCGGGTTGTCGGACCGCGGGGGAGGCTCCCGTCCGAGTTGGGACCCCCCTCCGACAACCGCACCCATACCATCCATACCTTCCTCCGTCCCCCCTGTGGGAGACGGAGGGAGAGGAGGAGAAGGAGGAGCAGCAGCAGCAGGAGGATGGGAAGAGAGAAGAGGAGGTGGGAGAGGAGGGGGTGGAGGAGGAGGAGGAGGAGGAAGGATGAGGAGGAGGAAGGAGGAGAGGAGGGAGGAGAGGAGGAGGAGGAGGAGGAGGAGGAGGAGGAGGAGGAGGAGGAGTAGCGAGGAGGAGGAGGTGTGCTGTGTCTGTGTCTGTGTGCGTGTGCGTGTGCGTGTGCGTGTGCGTGTGCGTGTGCGTGTGCGTGTGCGTGTGCGTGTGCGTGTGTGCGTGTGTGCGTGTGCGTGTGTGCGTGTGTGCGTGTGTGCGTGTGTGCGTGTGTGCGTGTGTGCGCGTGTGTGTGCGTGTGTGTGCGTGTGTGTGCGTGTGTGTGTGTGTGCGTGTGTGTCGCCATCCACTGCCCAGGGGAACGAGCTTCCCGGACCTCGGGAGGCGGCGGCTGTGGATGCCTTCGGCCCCCCGGGGGTGGCTCACGGAGGGCCGCGCGGCGCGCCGGAGCAGAGCGGTGGAGCGCCTTGCCGCGCACGACGACCACGACGGCGACGACGACGACGACGCCGACGCCGACGCCGACGCCGCCGACGACGACGCTGACGCCGACCCGGGTGCGGCGCCGCGGCCGAGCACCGTTTCTCGGCTTCGGAAGGGGCTTTGCTCACCCTCCGGCGCGAGGGGCCCCCATTCAGGGAGTCCTTCGCGCCCGTGCGCGGAGAATCCGGGACACAGCCGTGTCCCAACGCAGTTTTCTTCCCCCTCCCTCCGTGCGGCCGCCCTCGTCCTTGTCCCTCTCTTGCATGCCGGCCAATTAACCGCTTGGTTGCCCCGAATTGCCACACGCTGGAGCGGACCGCGTCTGCCTCGCCGCCGACGAAAAAAAGTATCCCAACGCAGTCTCGGCCTCGAGCAGCCGGGGGGTAGGGGGAGGGGGGGAGGCTTCTTAAAAACCACTGCTTCTTAGAAGGCGCGGGTCTTGTCTTAGCACCCCTACTCCTGCTCAGAAGCCTTCCCCCCTCCCCCATACCCCCCTCTGCGCGCCGCCAACAGTCGATGAGCAATGCGTCCTTGCGCCTGCCAGGCGGGCCGTGGTGTGAGCAGCGTGGTGCCACAACTCGCCCTTGGGACGGGGCCCGCGGCCGCCGGAAGAGCATCTGTTTTGCGAGCGTGGCCGAAACTCGGGGCAGAAGTTCGGGCAGTTATTGAGCGGTGTTCGTGCGCATCTTTTGTGTGTGTGTGCCACGTGGCAGTTCCACGCGGCCGAGCCTGTTTGTTGTCACATGTGCCCAACGGGTCAGCGCCTGCAGCTGCTCCTGTGGACGGCTGGGAGAGGAGAACACTATTAGTAGTAGTACCCGTCGTCCGAGGGGTGTCTCCCGTGTGGGCGGTGCATGGCCATGCGGCCGGTTTAGGGTAGCGCCACCTCCTAGACCCGGTGGCGGCTAGGATGTCTGCTTCGAACCTCGGGAGTAGCCAAAACGTTCCAAAATCGTGTCCCTTCCCTTCTCCCTCCTCCCTCCGTCTCCCCCTCCTCCTCCTCCTCCTCCTCCTCCTCCTCCTCCTTCTCCTCCGCCTCCCTCTCCTCCTTCTCCTCCTCCTCCTCCTTCTTCCTCCTCCTCCTCCTCCTCCTCCTCCTCCTCCTCCTCCTTCCTCCTCCTCCTTCTCCTCCTCCTCCTCCTCCTCCTCCTCCTCTCCTCCTCTTCCTCCTCCTCTCTCCTCCTCCTCCTCCTCCTCCTCCCCCTCCTCCTCCTCCTCCTCCCTCCTCCTCCTCCTCCTCAGCCTCCTCCTCCTCCTCCTCCTTCCTCCTCCTCCCTCCTCCTCCTCTCTCCTCCTCCTCCTCCTCTCCTCCTCCTCCCTCCTCCTCCTCCTCCTCCTCCCCCTTCCCCCCCTTCCAGCCGCTTGGGACGCGCGCCCGCTCCCCGAGGCGGCCAGCTCGTGTGCGACGTCACCGGTGGCACCCTGTCGACCATCGACGACAGACCCGTGGAGACCTGCGGCGGGGGAGGATGGTGGTCGGAGGAGGGCCAGTCGAGACAAGGGCGGCCCTCCACCTCCCTTTCCTCCTCCTCCTCCTCCCCCTCCTCCTCCTCCTCTCCTCCTCCTCCTCTCCTGCTCCTCCTCCTCCTCCTCCTCCTCCTCCTCCTCCCTCTCCTCCTCCTCCTCTTGGTCCTCTTGGTCCTCCTCGAGGCGTCTTGTCGCCACGGCAGGATCTGCCTCGACAGTCTAGTCAGGACGGGCCACGGGAGGGATCCAGGGACTAATTTTGAATGGATGTGGGCTGGGCGGGAGCGCCGCCGTTGTCTTAAGTGGCCCTTCTCCAGGGGGGAACGGGGCCCCCAGATCTCCGATGACGTGCTTTTTCCACCCATCCTGCGGCGTGGGGTCCTCGTTTAGAATCCCCGGCGCCCCGCGTCGTTCACGTCCTCCTCCGCCCGCTCCCCCATCCATTCCTTGCCTCTGCTCTCCGCATGCCGATTTGGGCGCACCCATCTCACGTATCGTGACCCCATAGGCAGCTCCACAGAGCGCCCTTGTGGGTGCGTTCGCATGCGGGCACCCCTTACACGCTTCTTGGCCCCATAGGGAGCTCGACCTACAGCTTCTGTGGGTGCATCTACATGCACTTCCCCCACTTTCGGCGCACTCATCACACGCTTCGTGGCCTCATGGGGAGCTTGACCGAAGGCCCCACTGGGTGCATCCACCTGCGGTTCCCCCCAATCCGGCTGACCCGTCACATTCTTCGTGCCCCCCCAAGGAGTTCGACTCAGGCCCCAGCGGGTGCGTCCACATGTGGTTCTCCCCCATGCCGGCGCACCCCTCACACTTTCCGTGGCCCAGTACGGAGCTCCACTTAAGGCCACAGTAGGTGCGTCCATGTGCGGTTCTCCCCAGTTTGGCGCACCCTTCACAATCCGCGCGGGTCGCTGGAATTTTTCTGGGGCGACCATCGCGCGTCGCATGGACTTCCTTTCGCTCTGCCTCTAAGAGCTGCACTTGTGCTTCGGAGCGGGCGGCAGATTTGCACCTTGCGGGTGTCTGAAAGAGAACGCTCCTCGCGCGCCCGCGTTCGCTCTGGCTGCCCTCGCGCGTTCTCGCTGTTGATGTTGCTCGCCCACTCCTTCTCAGTTACCTTCTCTTTCTCATTTGCACATCATACATATATATACATGTAATATATATATGCCTGTCTGTCTCTGTCTGCATGTATGTATACATGCATGTAGTTATGTATGGATGCATGTATGTATGTATGTGTGTATAGAATTGTTCCACGCATATCCCATTCTTGAAGCAGAGTATCAGGATCCACCTGCCACCCCCCCGGATTTAACGGGTGGTGTTTTCGTATTGCAAGTTATATAAGATTATGCCCCCATTGCCCGTCGCTAATATGGATTATTTTCATTACAAGCACACGCTTATCGAACCCCCCTCTCATCATACGCAGAAAATGGGGTGCGCGCTTCCGCTTATCAGAAATCATCTGTTTTCAAGAGCCTTGTGCAACAAACAACGGGACGAAATGCGCACGCGCGCGTCGTCACGCGCGCATGCCAGCATCCTTCAAAAACCGTGGGCTTTGTTTGGATTTCAAAATCGAGCGGCCCGGATACATTTTAATTGAATGGCTTCTCAACAGGAGCTTTCAAGAAACATGCGCTCGTGCCCTCACGAATTCTTTGAGAAAGCACACGCTTGTTCACCAAATTATATCAAACGTGCCTCTCGCGCGAGCATGTGTAAATCGCTGAGAGAGCGTGATCCACCGCCGCTTTACTGTGGAAAATCCCGGAACCCGGGGGTACCCCCCCCCCTCCGAAAGCTCCCCCCCCCCTGCTTGACCCCCCCCCCCCCTGCCCCCGGCAAACCTCCCCCTCTCCCCTACCCCCCTCCCTCCCCTCTGGAAAACCGGGGGGGCTCACTCCCGGTTCGAACCCCCCCCCCTCGGAAAACCGGGAGGGGGTCACTACCGGTTCCAACCCCTCCCCCCCGCAGAGGAAGGTCACTACTGGTTCGAATCCCCCCCCACCTCCAGAACCGGAGGAGGGTCACTACCGATATAAACCCTTTCCGCCCCCCCCTCTCGAAAACCGGGGGGGGTCACTACCGGTTCGAACCCCCCCCACCCTCCCCTCCGGAAAACCGGGGGGGGGTCACTACCGGTTCGAACCCCCTCCCTCCTTCGAAACCGATTCAAATCCCTCCCCCCCCCCCCACGCTCACCGCCAGCAAACGACTCCCGGTCCCTACCACCGTCCACCCACATCCCCCACTGCTGTCCCCAGCACCACTGACCTCACCACCACTGTCCCCACTGGTTCCACCACCGTCCCTACTGTCCCCACCAGTGCCCCCACCACTGTCGCACTGTCCCCACTATCCACACCACTGTTCCCACCACGGTTCCACTCTCCCCACTTCCTCCACGGCCCCAACCACTGCCCGACTGTCCCCACTGTCCCCACTGTCCCACTGTCTCCTCTGCTTTCCCACTGAGCTGTCCCACTGTTCCCACCACTGTCCCCACTGTCCCCACCACTGTCCCCACTGCACCTCTGTCTCATTGTCCCACCGCCGTCCTCGCCACCGCCCTCACCACTGTCCCCACCACCACTGTACCCTCCACTGTCCCGCTGTTTCCACCACATTCCCACTGTCCACCACATTCCCACTGTCCACACACCACTGTCCCCACCACCACCGTCCCCACCACTGTCCCCCCTGTTCCCACCATTGTCCCCGCTGTCCCCACCAGTGCCCCCACCAGTGTGTCAATGCCCCCACTCTTCCCACCATTGTCCCACCACGGTCCGTCTCCCCACTTTCCCCACGGTCCCCACCACTGTCGCACTGTCCCCACTGTACCCACTACTGTCCCACTGTCCCCGCTGCCGTCCCACTGTGCTGTCCCAGCGTCCCCTAGTGACTCCCCTCCCGGTTTTCGAGGAGGGGGGGGGGTTCCAGGCGGTAGTGATCCCCCCCGGTTTTCGAGGGGTGAGGGGGGTTCGAACCGGCAGTGACCCCCCCCCCTTTCATGATGGACTGGGTGCGGGGGGGGGAGGGGTTCGAACCGGTAGTGACTCCCCCCGGTTTTCTGGAGGTGGGGGGGGTCAAAACGGTAGTGACCCCCCCAGGTTTTCCGCCAGCAGCGGTGGAACACGCTTTTTCAGAGCGTTTGAACGCCCTTGCGCGCGTGCTGTCGCAAGGATCCCTTGCAACGCATGTGACGAAGTGCACACGCGCGAGTCGTCGCGCGCGCATGCAGAAATACTTCAAACACTTGTTTAGGTGCCGCAAATATTTCAACACCGAGGGGCCCGAACACATACAAAACATATAACTTCGCGACGCCAATTGTCAGAGAAACACGCGTGCTTTCGCTAATCCTTAAGAAAGCCATGCGTTCGATTCAACATTCCATCAACTTCGACCAGGCGGGCCTCTCGCGCCGCATGTCGAACTCGCGCGAATGCCATTGCCCGCGTGATGGGGCTGGGCACGGTCCCTGTCAAATAACATCATGCGGGCCACTCGCCCGCGTCTGCTGCGCGCGCGTGCCGAACTCATTCCAAAACCTCCATCACCGACGCGAGGACATAGTCATCGTCATCGGCGTGATCGGCGCTGTCATTGGCCTTGCAGCCGTCTTCGTCACCATCGCCGCTACTAAGATCAGCGTCTCTACCGTTGCCGACGTCACCATGATACTGCGCCCGCCTACGTCAACGACTTGCACTGAAGTGCCCGCTGGGAAGTGCCTGGCGGTCAGCGCCACCGCAGCCGCGTCGGTCGCGCCAAACTAGCTGGCCGATGTGCGCGTGAACATTCGCGGGCTAGCGCGGCAACAAAGACGCACCAACTAACACGGAACACTCATCGCAGTCGCCGCCGCATAGGCTTTGCCGACCAAGTTGCGGGCGGGTCGGTGGGATGATTGCGATAGCCGTGGAGTTGCCAACGAATTGCCAACGACACTTGCGAGCACCATATCGGTTGTACCACATGGATTGCACAATGTGGGTTGCCCTACAGAGATTGCACAACTTAGATTGTACAGAAAAACTGCAGAGGGAATACTGAACACTGCACAGCACAGCTTCCACCCTGCAGCTTGCCCCACATAGAGTGCGCACCGCAAATGGAACCAGATCGATTCTCCCTTCTAAAATAAATATAGACTCTACCCCCCCCGGCGTTGTCACCCCCCCCGCGTCATATGTAAATCACATATGATTCTGACCACATGTCCATCTTAAATCTGAAATCACAATGTCACAGGCCAACCGGGTTCCCCCTCCTGAGGTTCCTTTGTGAAAAACACTGTGCGGTGACATTTTTTATTCTAACATCGCATTTTCTCGCGAATCCCTGAATAATAATACCATAAGGCGCACATGCGCGCGGCCGCCGCGCGCGCATGTCGAAATCCTTTTTAAACACACGGTGATTTCAACAATTCCAAGATCGGAGTTCAATACTTCATTAGAAAGCAACGACTTTCTCACCCAAAAACTTTGGAGCATCTGCCCGCGCGCTCTTGCAGAATCTTTCAAAAACCAGTGGTTTTTCAACATTCCTGTCAAATGGGCCTTCACGGGCCATTTTCGCTCGCACGTCGGACTAACTCAACAACCTCTGCGCGCTTGCCAGACGCGCCATGCCTTGTAAATGCTACCATAAGGCGCACATGCGCGCGGCCTCCGCGCGCGCATGCCGAAATCCCCCCAACACACACACACACACTGTGATTTCAACAATTTCAAAATCGGAGTTCAATCATTCATTGGAAATAATACCACTTGCGCATTGGAAAATTACGAACATCTGTTCGCGCGCGTTTGCATAATCATTCGGAACCCAATGGGTTTTCGAATATTGATGTCACGCGGGGCTTCGCGGGCAACTTCTCGCGCGCACGCCGAACTCACTCAACAATTTCGGCGCGCGTACCAGAGGAACACTTTTTCCGTCGTCGTCGTCGTCGTCGTCATCATCTTCCCCGTTGTCGTCGTCGTCGTCGTCGTCGTCGTCGTCGTCGTCGTCGTCGTCGTCGTCGTCGTCGTCGTCGTCGTCCCCCTCGTCGTCGTCGTCGTCGTAGCCGTCGTTGTAGTCGTCGTCGCCGTCGCCGTTGTCGTCGATGGGTAATCGCAGTCACGGCTTGAAGAGGTCTTGCGACCAAGTTGCGGGTGGGTGGGTGGGATGTTTGCACAAGCAGTGGAGTGGCCAACTCAATTAAGGGTAAATTCTCCTTTCTAAAAACATAATTGACTCTACCCCCCCCCCCGGCGTTATCCCCCCCCCGCGTCCTATGTAAATCACAAATGATTCTGACCACATGTCCATCCTAAATATGGAATCGCGATGTCCCAGGCCAACCGAGTTCCCCCCCCTGAGGTTCCCTTGTGAAAAACGATACGCGGGGACATCTTTTGTTCCAACATAAGACTTTTTCGCGAAACCCTGGCAACAAATGGGACGAAGTGCACGCGCGCGTCGTCGCGCGCGCATGCCGAAATCCTTCAAAACCCTTCGGTGTCGGAAAGATTTCGCAACCGAGTTTCCAAAACACATACAAAAACATAGGGTTTCGCAACACTGATGTGCTAAAAAAGCTTACGCGCGAGCCCTTGCGAAATCTTACGACAACCATGTGTTTTTCAAGATGTTCACAACATGGTATCAAACGGGCTTCGCGCGCGCATAACGAAATCTGTCGAACGCCCTTGCGCGTGTGCCGTCGCGAGAATCCTCTGCAGAAGATGGGACGAAGTGCAGACGCGCGCGTCGTCGCGCGCGCATGCCGAAATCATTCAAAACCCATCGGGTCCGGAAGGACTTCAAAATCGTGTGTCAAAAAAAAAAAAACGAAAACACAAGGTTTCGCAACACGGATTTTCAACAAAAGCGTGCTCGCACGCTCTTGCGTCGTCGTCGTCGTCGCCGTCTTCCCTCATCCCGCGTCGTCGTCGTCGTCGCCTACGTCGTCCTCTGTCTTTCCTCGTGTTCGGCGTCGTCGTCTTTTTTGGCGTCGTGGTCGTTTCCGTCGTCGTTGTCGCCGTGGTCGTCTTTCTTCCTCCTCCCTCGTCGTCGTCGTCGTGCGTTGTCGGCGTCTCGCCGCCGTCCCTCCTATTTCGTCGCCGTCGTCGTCGTCGTCGTCGTCTTCCCTCCTCCCTCGTCGTTGTCATCGTCGGCGTCGCCGTCCTTCCTCCTTCTTCGTCGTTCGCGTCGTCGCCGTCCTCCCTTCTCCCTCGTCGTTGTCGTCGTTGTCGTTATCGCCGTCGTCGTCCCCCCTCCTCCCTCGTCGTCGTCTTCGTTGGCGATGTCGTCGTCGTCTTCGTCGTCGTCGGCGTCGGCGCCGTCGTCGTCTCCGTCGTCGTCGACGTCGGCGTCGTCGTCGTCGCCGCCGTCGTCGTCGTCGTCGTCGTCGGCGGCGGCGTCGTTGACGTCGTCGTCGTCGTCGTCGTCGTCGGTGTCGTCGTTGTCGTCGTCGTCGGCGTCGTCATCGGCGTCGTCGTTGTCATCGTCGTCGTCGTTTTCGTTGGCGACGTCGTCGTCGTCGTCGTCGGTGTCGTCGTCGTCGTCGTTGTCGGCGTCGTCGTCGTCGTTGTCGGCGTCGTCGAAGTCGTTGGAGACGTCGTCGGTGTCGTCGCAGTCGTTGCGGGCTCGCGCGGCCGCAAAGATGTACCAGCCAACACCCAGCACTCATCGCAATCGTTCCCGCATGGGTTTTGCAAACCAGGTTGCGGGTGGGTGGGTGGGATGATTGCGCGAGCAGTGGAGTTGACCACTTCAAGTCCGGCAAGTGAATTGCACCACGTAGATGGCACCACATAGCTTGCGCACAACAATATATAGTGCACACCAAATTCTGCTAGAAACATGTTGCCCGGGAGCCACACTTGCCAACAAGTGTATGTATACAGAACATACAGATTGCACCACATGGCTTCCACGACATGGCTGGCTTCACAAGCTTCCACCACAGTGTTACACAACATACATCGCACCGCGCCGCGTGGCTTACACCGTATCCACTGCGTCATGCCGCTTGCACTACCTAGCTTGCACACTTAGATGGAATAGGTCACTTGTCTTGTGTCCGCGCTGGTCAACTTGATTTTACGAGTGTATGAACTGTCGGGTGCATGGATGGAAACAGGTTCTTTTCCAACACAAAACCTGAGGGGGCCACGCAACAATTTGCAGCGCTTGTCGATGTTGAAATGCTGGCAGGTGTCATCCAGTGTTCATCCCTGACTTCCCGTTGAAAATGATGCAATTGAGTGGCGACGTTGGCTAGCTCCGCGATAGTTTCTAAGCACGCGCGGAGCGCGTATGGGTCTAGTGGACATGTGCAACCATAACGAGTCTCCCTGGTTGGGTACAAGTTCTGTCAGTGTTCATTTGCGTGCGATGTGTTCATATTCATCGCTCTTCTGGTCTTGAACTACGGCGTCCTGCCGACAAAGCATATCAAGCCGAGCACGTCCCGTACGGCGTGTGCGTGTGAGATGCATCGAAGCACTGGTAACCCTTTGACGTTGTGGCTGCAGGAGGCCCGCTTTCTTACACCGCGTCGCTCGTCATTTTCGATCGCGCCATGTGCCGGCGCGCGCCTTCTGTTCGAGCGCAGTCCTCTGCGGCCGCACGGCCGCTCTCGAGGTGGGCGGAAGGCTCGCACGCGGGACCGCCGCAGTCCTCCTCACCCTGACCCCCGCCTACATCCCCATCTAGGGGGGCGAATGGGCCATCGGTGTCCTGGCCACGCAAGTGGGGATAGGCATCGGTTACACGATGTTCAGGAGCGGGGCCCAGCGAGGCGGCGCGGGGCACTGGGGGTCGGGCAGCCCCCGCCAGGGGGGGCCACCTCCTGGAAGTCGAGGGTCGAGGAGGGGGGAAGCTCGGGGATCGACGGAGCGCTGGACGGTTTCGAGGTCGGGGCGCTGGGTGATGGGCCGATTTTCCACCACCACTACCCTAGGACGGAGTGGGAGGAGAAGGAGGAGGAGGAGGACGAAAAGGACGAGGAGGAGGAGGAGGAGGAGCAGGAGGAGGAGGAGGAGGAGCAGGCGGAGGAGGAGGAGGAGGAGGAGGAGGAGGAGGCGGATTCTCCCCCGTCCTACCCATGGCGGTGGCGGTGGAACATCGGCCCATTACTGGGGGGGGGGCGGGCAGGCGGTCTGATCCCGAGGCGCAGGCGGAGGAGGCACGGTGCCTCTCTCTTTCCCTCTCTCTCCTTCTCCCTCCTCGGGATGTTCGTTTTAGGGACCTCCCTGCCCCTCCCCCCCTGGCGGATCGGTTCGACTAGAGTTCGACTCCAGTTCGACTTCAGTTCGACTCAGGTTCGACTCGAGGCTCAACGGACGTTCGATGCAGCTTCGACGGACGCGCGAGTGGAGTGAGTGGCTCCAGGAAGGTTCCCAGAGTAAGCATCTGACCCTCCTCTTCTCTGTTTTGCTCCACTGCGCTCTCTCGAGCAAGCAGCCTCGGCCAGAGCACGGCACCATACTCACGCCACCGTCCGACGACGACGACGACGACGACGACGACGACGACGACGACGACGACGACGACCTCTCCCAGCGCCCCTCCCCCACGCGCAGTTGAGCGGCACCCCTAAGTCCACTGCAATGTGGAATCTTCAACCTCGACCGACGATCTTTTTATCTGTGGCGCCGCGCAAGAACCACTGGCGCGCCCCCTCCGGCAGCCAGAGGGGGCGCCTTGGGGCCTGTGAGCGCCGTGCCTGCTAAGTAGGCCATCGCGGCACTGCTCAAACCCACCTGCCTCCCCAGACCCCGCCTCCCCAGACGCCCCTCCCCGCGCAGGAGAGCGGCACCCACTTCCCCCTGATGGGGGCGCTGGGGGCGGTGTCCGCGCTGGCGCTGCTCCGGGCCCTGCGCCGCCGGGCGCGCCGGCTCTCGCAGGCGCCCGGCGGCGCAGGGCGTCGTCGCGTCACGTTCTCGTCGCGTCACGTTCTTGATGAGCCTGTTTTCCACCACTAACACCATAAGTTGGTGGGGGAGGGATCCTCCTCTCTCTCCTCCTCCTTCTCCTCGTCGTCCTCCTCCTCCTCCTCCTCCTCCTCGTCCTCCACCTCCTTCCCCCCTCCAACGTATGGTGGTGGTGGTGGTGGTGGTGGTGGTGGTGGTGGTGGTGGTAAACAGGCCCATCAGTTCTGGCGCCGCCGCGGCGCCGACCGAGGATGGTGCTGGATCGGTGGCTACATCCCAGAGGTCCAGCGCATTGGACAAACAAGCAAGGCGGAGGTTTTGCCTACCTTTCGGCCTCCAGGGGCTCTCGCCAGGTCCCGGGATCGTCAAGAAACGACTCAGGATGAGAAGCCGGTTCCGGGGAATGTGGGTCGAGGCTGCCGAGGACCCCGCGTTGAAAAATATCACGACGTCGGATCTCTGGGAATGAGTGTGGTCGCGCCAGGCTGTGGCCTGCGATCGGCGCCTGGGGCTTTGGGGGTGGCCACGCTGCGCCCAAAGGTTTGCCGAGCCCTTTTATGGGCGCGGCAGATATCTCAGTCGATGTGCTTCGCCCGCCCCCCCCCCCCGGGCGCGGGTCGGGAGGGGGAGGAGGAGGAGGAGGAGGAGGAGGAGGAGGAGGAGGAGGAGGAGGAGGAGGAGGAGGAGGAGGAGGAGGAGGAGGAGGAGGAGGAGGAGGAGGTGGAGGAGGAGGAGGAGGAGGAGGAGAAGGAGGAGGGAGGGGGGAGGGAGGGAGGGGGAGGAGGGGGAGGAGGAGGAGGAGGAGGAGGAGGAGGAGGAGGAGGAGGAGGAGGAGGAGGAGGAGGAGGAGGAGGAGGAGACAGGCTGGATTTTTTAATATGTTTACTCCCTGGAGCAGAGCATATGGGCCCAGGCCAGTCAGCACTTCTCGGTCTCGGGGGTTGAGTACGGGGTGGTCTTATCTGTGACCTGGCCCCATCTCAAGTTTTTACGAAATCGAGGTTTAAACCATAAGGCAGCCATCCCTGAGATGATTAGCCAGGGGGCCTTGTGGCCCAATCAGAGACGCTTTGAGAATACAGGGGTAGGAACCACGGTTTGCCCAAGGTGTCGAGCACCAAATGAAACGCTCTACCATCAACTTTGGGAATGCCCCGGCAATAGAGACATTCCCGACTTAGAAGAAGATGAACGACTTTGTGCACATGCCAAGATAGGTGCTGAAACCTATCCTTGTTTTTGGATTCGAGGTTTAGTGCCGATCCTCTGGACCATGCCCCCTGAGGACATCCCTCTCCCTGAGGAGAATACAGTCAGAGAGGGAGCGTGGCCTGAGGACGGGCGGCAGAGATATGAGCTTCCAGCAGGTTGTGTATTTGGCGGCGACGGCTCGGGGGGTGAGTATGATTCGGATCCTCGTTTGCGTCGTGTTGGTTGGGCTTTCGCCGTTTGTGTCGGTGAGTCTTCCTTGGCCTCCTGCCGTGGGAGCATGGCGGGGTGGAGACAGACTGTTCCCCGAGCCGAACTGCTAGCCGTAATTCGAGCTCTTGAAGCAACCTCAGGGGACGCCACATAGGTAGTAGATGCGTCAATGGCTGGGACCACGCGCCCGCGCACGTGCGCGTGGGCCCAGCCATAAGTACAGAAGTAATGCTGACCTGTGGACTGAATGTTGTCAGGCTGTGGCCAATCGCCATGGCAGGCTCACGCTAGTCAAGGTCAAGAGTCGCCTCGACAGAGCTGTGGTGGGTCCCAGTTTTCCCCTGGAACACTGGTTTGCAAATGCCCAGGCCGACGAGTTGGCCGATAAAGTTGCTCAGGAAGCCCGAACCCCCCTACAGTTTGGTGGGGAAGGTCCAAGAGGCCGACAAGTTGGCCTGGCGTGTTCAGAAAGGCTTGATTTCTGTTTCCCTGGAGGTGGCCAAGCATGCTAAACATTTGTATGGGACCACTCTTAAAGGAGATGTCCAGGCCCGAGCTGTAGCCCAAGCAAAGGTTAAGGCAAGAGAGATTCTTCAGGCTTCCGCCACATCCGCCGACCCCTTGGATTTTCCTCGGGATCGTTCACCACAGCTTCCTTGCAAACCGTGGGAAAATGAGGCTGTTCAGGGCCCGTCACAGCGAGAAGGGGAGCCGACATGGGTCGCAAACTGGCCCAGAGGGCTTCCAGACGGCCCAAGCGAACCCCAAGACGGCACAGGGAGGTTTTTTGGGTTGTGTTTGGGGCCTTGCACGGGTGCCGGAGCCAGGGAAGTATGTTACACCCCGGAGACATCTTACGGTTGTCGGCGGTTTCCAAGCGGGATGTCCCGCTAACTGTTAATGTTCGGGGATGTTTGGGCTGACCTTGTCGATGGCAATGACGTCGTTGATGATCACGACACTGATGACGATGATCGGCTCCCTCTCCTCCTCTCCTCCTCCCCCTGCTCCTCCCTCCTGCTCCTCTTCCTGCCTCTCCTCCTCTGCCTTCTCCTGGGGGAAGAGTTTGGGGAGGGGGAACATCTCACACGCCGATGAACGTCTTGGGGCCCTCGAGGGCAATGTACGGACCCTCTTGGAGGCGTCTTGGACCGTCTGGGAGCGGGTTTGGGGGGCTCTGGGGCCGTGCAGGAGCGGGGGTCACCCCCAAAGGCGCACGTGTGAAAAATATACGTTTTACAAAGGAAACGAGCGATTTTTTGCGTCTAGAGGGCCTCTTGGGGGGATTATTGGATGCCTGTGGTGGCGTCTGGGGAGGCCTCGTGAGCCGTCGGGAGGTCGTCGTCGATGTTTCTGATCGCTCTTGGACCGTCTGGGACCATGTGGAGCTTCGGGGAGGCAATTCGGAGCGCTCCTGGAACGCTCTTGGGGCCATTTTCGGAGCCGTGTTGGACCGTCTTGGACGCCTGTTGGCCCATCTTGGGCCCTCTAGGGGTCTGTGGGGGACCCTCTGCGAGGCTTCTGGGGCCGTCTGGGAGCGGGTTTGGGAGCCTCTTGGGCCGTCGGGGAGCATCGGAAAGATCCAAAGCTGAATTTCCATAAAATGTGCATTTCACAAAGGGAATGGCCCAATTTTGGCGTCTAGGGACCCTTGTGGAACGCATCTCGGAGGCCCTCGGGGGAACTCGTGGGGACCTCTTCTGCCGTCGAGGACGCCTCGTGGCCCGTCTTCGGGCAAACTTGGACGTCTTGGAGCGCTCGTGGGGCGTCCCAAACCCATTTGGAGGCCACCAGACGCGTCCCTACACGAATTCCGTGTGTTTTTCCACGTTTTTCGGGAGCGGATGAGACCTCCGGGGGGTTCCAGGCCGTCCGGGGCCGTAGGCTACCAGACGCGTCCCTACACGAATTTCGCGTGTTTTTTCAACGTTTTTCGGGAGCGGATGAGACCTCTGGGGGATTCCGGGCCGTCCGGGGCCGTCCGACCGGACCCCCCCCCCCCTCCAAATGGACCGGACCGGGCTCCCGGGGGAGGGGTTTGGGGAGGGGGAACATCTCACACGCCGATGAACGTGTTGGGGCCCTCGAGGGCTATGTACGGACCCTCTTGGAGGCGTCTTGGACCGTCTGGGAGCGGGTTTGGGGGGCTCTGGGGCCGTGCAGGAGCGGGGGTCACCCCCAAAGGCGCACGTGTGAAAAAAAATACGTTTTACAAAGGAAACGAGCGATTTTTTGCGTCTAGAGGGCCTCTTGGGGGGAATCTTGGATGCCTGTGGGGCCGTCTGGGGAGGCCTCGTGAGCCGTCGGGAGGTCGTCGTCGATGTTTCTGATCGCTCTTGGACCGTCTGGGACCATGTGGAGCTTCGGGGAAGCAGCTCGGAACGCTCCTGGAACGCTCTGGGGGCCGTTTTCGGAGCCCTCTTGGGCCGTCTTGGACGCCTGTTGGCCCATCTTGGGCCCTCTAGGGGTCTGTGGGGAGCCCTCTGCGAGGCTTCTGGGGCCGTTTAGGAGCGGGTTTGGGAGCCTCTTGGGCCGTCGGGGAGCATCGGAAAAATCCAAAGCTGAATTTCTATAAAATGTACATTTCACGAAGGGAATGGCCCAATTTTGGCGTCTAGGGACCCTTGTGGAACGCATCAAAGGTTAAGGCAAGAGAGATTCCCCAGCTTTTCTGGAATCCCAGCATCGACTTTTCAAAACCTCCAAGGGATGGAAGTGCGCGGTTTGCCTGGACCGAGTGGGGAAACGTTTCTTTGAAGAGTTCTCGACCTCATTGTGTCCTGGGCAGCTTGCTTATTGATGTTTCTCACAGGATCGAGAATTACCGAGGCCTCTGGTTTTGCCGCCTGTGCGGAGCACAGGGGGTAGAGAAATTCGTTCGGCTCGCCGAGAAGGGTGAACGACGACTCCCCAAGATGGAAAGGCCACCCTCAAGGCGATCGGCCGTGGGAACCTGCCCAAAGGGGTGGATCGGTGGCCAGACTCGACTCTCCCACCCAGAGCCTGAAGGTGAGGCACATGACTATCACCGACGAGCAGACGGGAGGGTGGGTCTTTTCTTTTCAACGGCGCTGATGTCACCATCGAATTCCGCCGTCTGTCGTAGCGCGGGAGGAGGAGGAGGGGGAGGAGGAGGAGAAGGAGGAGGGGGAGGGGGAAGGACCATGAGGAGGGATGAGGTGTAAAGGGGGGAGTCGGAGGAGCGGGGGAGGGGGTGGAGAAGCAGGAAGGGGATCACGGGGAGGGAAGGGATGAAGAGGGAGAAGGATACGACGAGGATGATGATGAGGAGGAGGAGGCGGAGGCGGAGGCGGAGGACGAGGAGGAGGAGGATTATGATGATGATGAGGAGGAGGAGGAGGAGGAGTTGGAGGATGACGAGGAAGGGGGGAGGGGGGGTATTATCCTATCGCTGGATATCAGGTTCAACATCCACAGTTAACGCTGGTCCCGATTGTTCTGCGCCGGTAGCCTGGTAGCCGACCCTTCAAAGCCAACAGGACGGGTCACCTCGGTGACTTCGACAGCGACGTACGAGGTGAAGGCCACCCACCCTGGTTTGGTCTGTGAGTTTCTGAAGAGTTTCTGCTCATGCATCGAGACCGTGGGGCGTCGTGCAATCTCGCTTGCCCATCTCTTGCAGGAGGCTTTGGGGCCCCTCCCGTGGATGACAAGGTGCTCGTCGCAGGGTCATCTGCAGATTTGGGCATTGTAGTGCAAAGGGCTTTGAGGGAACTGGCTGGTAAGAACGTTATCTGAATAACTTCGGTGCCGCCTTTGAACTTGGAAAGCGCTGGCACAGGTTCTTATCGCGTCACGTCACGGATGAAGAAGGCCAAGAAAACGAATGCGGCCCCCGTTCAAGATAGCATAACTCTTGTTCAATGCAACTGAGCCCTTGGCCACGTACTGGGAGGGAGGTCATGGGCTACACTCCTAAAACTGATGTTTGTATCAAGGCGTTCAACGACCGCGTTTTGGGCCGTCCTGGTTATGGGTGCATGGAGCTAGGGTGGCAGCTGCATCCACTGAAAGTTCCTCTCATAGTAGCGGCCAACACGACGAGGAGGTATTTCCAGGAGTGGTGGCGAGCGTCGGATTCAGAGCACTCTCACGGCGACGGGTTTTCAGAGCGTGGGCTCACTGGTGTGTTCCGTTATACTTTTAAGCGCCTTCGGGATCAGCTGATTAATCCAAGTTAGCTATATGTGTAAGAAATAGAGAGGGCTCTATGGCGGATCTCAACTTGTGGATCCGACAAGCAGGATGTGTGAGTGCGGGTCTTGGGCAGTTCATCACGGGATCGGCGAGGCAGGTGGTGCTCACAGACAATGTTCCTACGCCTTGCAAGTACCCGCCGAAGAGAGCGCTGGAGACTAGAATGCCTACTTCAACGTGAGAACGTGCCCCATATACTTGGAGTCTGCCATCGCGAAGGCTGATCGCGCGTAATGCCCTGCCCCCACTCAAGCGCCGGTGAAAGCTGGTCTTCTTTATGGTTTGCACTACGGGCGTAGACCTTTACAAATGGGATATGTCTGCTTTGGGTGTTGTTTTCATTGCTAGCGTCCAAATGTTATTTTCTATCGACATTGGGCGCGTCTGAGCGTCGAGGCCGACAGGGAGGGTATTGATCCAGAGACCATGGCGATGGCGATCCACTGCAGCCCAGACTTTAGTTGGCGCCTCTGGTAGTTGAAAGTTTTCCCTCCCCAGAGCACCGCGTTGTGTTCATAGGCCCTGACTTGGAGGATGCTCCTTTCATCTTTTCAAGGGAAGGGGTAGTTGTTTGAATGGCACTATGCTTGGTGTTGCTCGCGCTGGGTGGGTTGTGGTGGAGGGTGACCCAGATGAGTGCCTCCTGAGCGTCATCCACAGGGTCGTTAACCAGGGTTTGCCCCAATCTGCTGATGTAGGTGAGTGTTTTATATTTTGAGTGGTTCGAGGAGAAGTCCCTGCATGTAGACTGCCAGTCGCTTTTTTATGGAGGATCTCGTTCTTTTGGTGGGCACGACTCCACAACTGTGAGCATGCCACGGTTTGGCGGGCGCTCGGCTCGAAGGTGCCTGGTACGGCGAGTGCGACGAAACTGATTTTTAGGGGTTCCATATTTTTGGGAGTGCAGTTGCATAAACGTGTTTCAAGCGTGATGCCACTGAGAACGGCGAGTCGAGTGGCGACCGTAGCCGGCTTGTAAATGAGATGGCCCTGTAGAAGTCTGCGGCCAAAGCGATGTGCTTGTCGTTATGGTCACAGCGATGAGCTCTGGCCCGCTTTCGAGGCATTCCGGACCCCTGCCTACGGTCAGAGCTCAGCGCGCCCTCCCCGACCGCGCCTGGGTTGGCTGGTTTTGCGTGGACATGCACCAAATGCCACGGAGCAGGCAGCCGACTGGTTCCAACACTCGCTGGATCCGCCTTCCCCCCTGTCTCTTGGAGGTGCGAAGGGGCTTCTGAAGACGTGCTTTACCAATAGTATGCTGTGGATCCGCCACTTGGGAATGCTCGTCTCCACCCCCGTTTTCCCGGACGAGGAGCAGGAGGAGGAGGAGGAGCGGGAGGCGGAGGAGGAGGAGGAGGAGGAGGACGAGGAGGAGGAGGAGGAGGAGTTCGAGGATGAGACTTTTTCCGACCCCTTATTCTCATCGTCGCCATCGCACGTGAGGACGCCGATCCAAGCACGTGTCGTAGATAATGCGAAGGACTGGCAACTGTCGTTTGTCCTCACCCCTCACCCGTCTCGTCGTCGTCGCGATTATCCTCCCACTTCTCGTCAGAGTCATCGTTCTCCTTCCCCTTCCCCTTCTCGTCGTCGCTGTGGTTATCCTCCTCCTTCTCGTCGTCTTCATCGTCGTTCCCCTCACATTCGTTGTCGTCGCCTCCTAGCCCAATGAAACGATTAAGAACCTCCCCTGGGTTATCGTTAGCAACGGCACGAAAATAAATCATCCAGGGGGGTGGAATCAGAGGAGCGATGTCTTCAGCACCGCATCGAGCCTCAGAAGCCATAAGTATTGCCCCCCGGGCAGACATGGAAACCTTGGCGTGCTAATACTCCTGACGTCGCACGATGATATTCAATGACAAAGATGATTATTTCTGTGGCGCTGAACTCCTGTGGCGCTGAACTCACTGAAAGCGGGCTGGAGCCTGCCTGAGAGTGCTGTGGACAACTCGTTGAGCTCAATCGATGCCCTCCGAGAAGCAGCAGAACGAGCTGA